GTTGCACTGCTGTTATGGTATAAAGAAGATACTGTGTTGATTATTTAGAAAGGTTTTTATCGAAGTTTATTAAAGAAAATATCCCAGTTGCACGTGTCAAAAGCATTTTTGCGTCTAGCAAACATAAATAGATAGGCAAATTATTGTTGTTATAATGTTTGATTGTTTCATTTATAAAGACTCAGCAAGCAAGATCGAACTCTTATTATTAAAACCAAATTGAAGCGGATGATGATGATGCGGATGAGAACCTTTTATCTACAGACGAGAAAAATAAAATACTCTAAAAGTTTAGTAAATATTGGGAAAATGATAATACCATGGTAGTTTTTTGGATCGTTAAGTGATTTTTTATAGGGTTTAACTAGTGTTATTATAGTTAATGTTGACATTAATGAAGATGTCCATCATTAATTAATTGAAAAGAGAAATAATTATTCGATCCACTGCTTTAGCGCGTCGCATTGGGCATGTTTTAAATGTTCTGTAGGGATATTTAAATGAATTTTTTTATTTGATTTATTTAGTTTTAGGTTTAAAATAATTGTTTTGATATTTTCAGTATCTATTATCTTATTAAGGCTTTTACAAGGTGACGACGATGACGTATATGAGTTATTCTTTCAGTATTTAATCGTTTTTCAAAAAGTAGCAAATTTGGTGATGATTTTTTATCCTTTCAACAGCTAATTGTAAAAGTTTTTGGGTTTAAATCCTTTTTTTTTTGCACTGAAAAGTGCAAAAAAAAAAGGATTTAAAAAAAAGGATTCTTTTTATTCTAAAAATGTTTTTATTATAAAAAGTTAAGAGTTTTTTAATTTTTATGTATTGTTGACAAATATTGTTATTTTGGACGGCTTTTTTTTATTTTTAAATTAAAAATTTTTAAATTAAAAAATTTCCTGAATTTTTAAATTAAAAAATTTCCGAGCAAATAGATAACGATTAAAGTAGACGATATTTCGTCTGAGTTTTTTTTATATTTAATTGTAATAAACCTAAGGAAATGAAGCGAGGAGACATGGATGCTATGGCAGCTAATGGGATTACTTGTGTCAAATGAATGAATAACAGATCAGTAACTCTGTTGTCTAATTTTATACCATGTTCAAAAGATAATGTTTCGCTTGTTCTTAGGAGGAATGCAGGATGCGCAGAAAAGTTACGAGTTCCATGTCCAACTATTATAAGTTTATGAGTGGTGTTGATCATATGAGGCTAATCGAAAGTCTAAAATCAAGTACTGTTTAAGAATTTTTTTTAATCTTCTTGATATTGCTGTGAACAACAGCCATTGTATTTATGTACAAATCAATCAAGAGAAAAATTCAGAATACGAGTCAATAACACCACTACAATATAGACAATTGGTAGCAAGAAGTCTTATTGGTCAATATTCTAACAGACAAAGAAATGCTCCATTAGCAGCTGTTAGATCAGCGTCAAGATCTCTCTTAACAACACCAAAACCACAACACTGCTTGAGCAGGAAAGAACATCGCAAACGATGTGCTCAATGTGCCAAGCATGGTATTGAAAACCGAACTGACAGTTTCTGTGACACATGTTATGTGAGCCTGTACTACACTAAAACACGTAATTGTTTTGCTGAATTTCACAAATTTACGCAGTAAAAAGAATGATATTTGCTCAATAGAAATTTGAAAATATTCAGTTTATTTCAAGAAAACTGCTAACAATGATCACTAAGTAGAACAATTTTGTAAAGCATTTTGTATTCTATTAGTATTTTATTTAGTTTTTTTATATTATACTTATTTTGAGTTAAAATAATGAATTGAAACGCACTTGTTATATGTGACTGCCATATGGGACAAATGGGACCCATAGTTCACTTGAGGACCATAGGGACATATTTGTCCCATCTTATATTTCCACTTGTAATGGTAATGGAAAATTTTTTTATTTTTTAGTTTGTTATTTAAACTCATTGTAATGTTAGAAATGCATTACTTTTACTAAAATTATTTTTGTAATCGTTACGGTCCTCAAAGGGTTAAGCCTTAAATAGTTAGCTATCGTTGAATAGAAATAATTGTTAACTCTTATATTTACAATTATTTTTTTGTTAAAACATTTTTATCTTTTTCTTTTTGAAAATTCTATTGTTTATTTGTTTTAAATGTTTAATAAACTAATTTATTTCCTATTTTGTAGACATTTCATGATTTTTAACTTCAAAAATGTTAAATGTTTTAAAAAGTGTTCTAAATTAAATACAATGTTAACCACTAAATAAAAAATTTAAATATATGCGTAAATTTTGTTAGTGTATGCTACAAAAAGAGTGCTTCATATTCATAAAAAACAAAGATGTAATAAATGTGCTTCTTGAGGATCTTATAGATGGTGAGACTGTGAGATGGTTGTTGACTGATGATTGATGACTGTTCAAATTGTTTTTTAAATTTATTATATAGTAGTATAAAATAAGAAAATATTTTAAAAAATAACACATTATAATAATATCATGATATTGTTGAACATATCACAATATTATTATATTGTTATTGCAATTATAAATGCAGTTATGCAATTAGTAAAAAAATCTAAAGGAAAAAATCCAGAAATGAAGGGCAACAACAACAACAACAACAACAACAACAATACTTTTACATTAACACCTATTAAAAATAGGAAAAAATTTAGAAATAGAGAACCAACCTAAGGCAGCATTACAACTTATATATGAAGTGCAAAGTCCTATGGCTTACCTTCTAGTTGGTGCACTTTGTTAAATAAGTCAGACATTGTATGTCTAACTTAGGAACAGAATAGCCAAGGCAAATTTTATAGTTTACCATTAGTTGTTTTCCTAGAATTCATTAAAATATATAATAATGTTTTAATATATATATATATATATATATATATATATATATATATATATATATATATATATATATATATATATATATATATATATATATATATATATATATACCACTGCGCCACGGCTGCTCAGAAGATCTATTCTAAGAATGTCTAAAACAGAACAAATACATCATTTTATTTTATTTTTACTATAGAAATACAAAATCCTAATAAGCCAAAGAATTTTAGGGCAAAAAACAAATGATGTCAAAAAAAATTTTGTAAAAGTTTTTATGGTAGCCTTTTGTAAAAATGCTGATAATTCTTACCATTTTATAAACAATGATGGCTGACCATTGCTTGATGTAGAGAATAAAAAGAGCTAAATTTTGAAACACTTTAAAATTGGACGAAAAAAAAATATATATTATGCACTTTTAAAGATTCAGATTGTTTCGATTTACGGCCGATGATAAAATTTTGGCGCTATTGGAAATTTTGTGCGAAAAAAATATTTTCTAATACATTTTTAACTTCAAGTTCGATGATTAAGGAGAACATTAAAAATGGCTTTTTTGATGCTTTTTATTTTTTGAATACTTTTTCAATATCATAGCTCAGTTGACCCATTCTTTCAATCATAAAAAAGTTAAAAGCTTTATTAAATAAAAATAAAGATTTTTATACTTTAAGATTTAGGTTTTGATTCTATAATGCTAGATCTATGTTAACATTTTAATCATTCCAAGTTTGTTTAATTTCATGAATCGATCATTCCAAGTTTAATTAACTTGATCTACTGATCTGATCCAAAATTTAAAATTTCTTTCAATAAAATTCATTCAACAAAATTCCAAATGTCTTTGAATGAAATCTGAAAATCTTATCTTGTCTTTAAACATGATAAGTCAAATTATTCCCTTTATTACTCTCTTACCTAAATTGCTTAAGTACATCAATGGGATAAATAAAATAACTAGATAATTCTTAAGTACATCAATGGGATAAATAAAATAACTAGATAATTCTTAAGTACATCAATGGGATAAATAAAATAACTAGATAATTCCTATCTCTTTAATAATGTTGTCTCTCAAAAGAAATTTAAGTGCGAACTGAAGTTATAATGAAAAAATAGTGAAAACTGAAGTTTAAGAATGTTTTAAACTTACTTAAACCATTACTTAAAAGATAAGAATACTTAATTAACTAAAGTATCTTGTTGCTATGTTGTATCTTGTTGCTATGTTATATATTGATATCACTTAACTTCCTTTATGATATTTGTTGAATTACAAAAATCTAATCTTTCTTTATACCTAGAAACAAAAGAGTCATTTACAGTATTGTTATGTATTTTTCTGCAGCCATATTTTTATTTAATAAAAGAAGCGCGGTATAAAATATACAGTTTATAAAATATAAGTATAAAATATAAAATATACAGTTTATAAAATATAAGTAAAAAATATAAAATATACAGTTTATAAAATATAAGTATAAAATATAAAATATACAGTTTATCAATGTATAAAAAAATTCATACTATTTAATGTAGTATTTAATGTTTAGTTGCTTTGTTTATTGGTATTTTTTTATTTACGAGAATTTTATTGTTGTTTATTTCTTTAATTTCTTTACAGAAATTTACAGAAGTTCAAAAGTTGTAGCAGAAAATTCAAATCTTTTATCCGTATTCTTTTAATTAAGACTACTTTTGCTAATAATAAATAAAATAACAATGGTATATAAATCTAATAGTATAGTATATACAAATATAATGACATATATTCCATTATATTTGCATACTATATATACATATAATGTAAATATAGTATGCAAATATAATGGAATATTATAAAAAATGATATAAACTCAGTTAAAATATAAAATAAAAACAACTTTAAACTTAAAATATAAAATAAAAACAACAAGATATACTAAATGTAAAGAAAACAAAAACCGATGTTTGCTGTGTTATACTGTAATAGCTAATATAAAAGATTTTGAAGCTTTTAAATTCTCAAAATATTTATCAATCGTTTTTTATTCATTTTATCTAATAAAATATAATTATAAAAACTCTAATGGTTTTGTATACTTAGTTGTTTTGATTTTTTAATGTTTAATTTATTTCTAGATTTAGAGAAAAAGAAGGGAAAAGAAAAAAAAAAGAAAAGAAAGGTAACTCTCTCAAAATTTTATTCCAGCGTTTTTCTATTCATAGATTAAATTTTTGACTTTTTTTGTTTTTGCATTAAACTTTTTAAATCCTATAACTTAAGATCTAATATTCAAGTTGAGTTGTTTTTCTTTCCCAACCCATCAATAAAAACTTTCAACAATCTAGAAAACAGCATTTTAAAACATTATTATATATTTTGTCAATGCCGACCTGATTGCCGACCAGTTTAAGCGAGGTCGCCAAATCGCCGACCCTATTTTTTATGGTAATCTTTGTGTCAAAAGATTTTTGCCGACCTCTTGCAGTTTAAATTCAGCAAGTTGTTTTGTTATATATATGTTATATATACATTATGCATTATATCTTATATGTTAATTTAATTGGTGTTGAGCATTTTCGTATTCGCATGTATATTATTATATATCGTAATACACTGGTTGTAATAACTGTTTTAACAAAGAAAAACAAATTGAAAGTTGTAAGACAACATTCCCGAAATTTCAAAAATATATATAAAATAAATATGTTTTATTTTAAAGCAATTCTAAATAAATTTGTTTTATCTTATAGTAATTCTAAATAAATATGTTTTATCTTATAGTAATTCTAAATAAATATGTTTTGTCTTATAGTAATTCTAAATAAATATGTTTTATCTTATAGTAATTCTAAATAAATATGTTTTATCTTATAGTAATTCTAAATAAATATGTTTTATCTTATAGTAATTCTAAATAAATATATTTTGTCTTATAGTAATTCTAAATATAATTGCTTTAGCTGTACAAGCCCATAAAAAATATATCTTAAATATGAATTATTGCTTAAAATAAAACTAATGTTTAATATAAAAGTACTTATAAGTAAAATGAAAAGTAAAGATCAAAATTAAATAAAATAATAAGTGAAAATAAAATAATAATTTTTTTTTTTTTGCCGTGTTAATATATACAAACTGTATCTTAATAACAAGATATATTTGTAGCAGGGGCGAGAAGAAGACTAATATGTCTTATCTTATACTGCTGAGTTAGGTGAGCATGATGATGTCATACTCACCTAATGTCAAATAGCCTGCTGCCGGGGGCTTCAGTACATACATCGACTGACAAATAGCCTGACTCGCCGTGGAGTGCTGCTACATCGACTGAGGGTTTGGTATGGGTCAGCAACATTTTCATTCATTATTCTTCGTTTTCCCTCATCGTTTTCTAAAAATGCTCACTTAATTTAGGCTAGCAAAAAAAGTGAGCAATTGCGCATATAAATATGCTATAGTAGATAAATATATATATGTATATATATATATATATATATATATATATATATATATATATATATATATATATATATATATATATATATATATATATATATATATATATATATATATATATATATATATATATATATATATAAAAAGAAACGAGAAAAGATAAAAAAAAAAAGAAAAAAATCCAAAGTAAAACTAAAAACATTCGAAAATGAAAAGTAATTAAATGCAATTAAAATAAAATATAAAAATTGCTCCGTTTTTGAAGAAACGTAAAAGAATATTTTTTAAATTTTATTAATTTTGAGGGACGTTTGTCTTTTTTGTTGTTGTTTTTTGTTTTTGTATTCTTGTGTATTGTTAATTGGGCATTGTATAGTAAAATTCATTTTGTTTGCATTGTATGTTTTTTAATTTAAATGTTTTTAATTTTATGTTTGTTGGACATTTAAAAAAATGTATATATTTCTAAAGCTGTATATGTATATGTATCTATATGTGTATGTATACATAGCTATGTGAGTGCATGTACGCGCGCGTGTGTATTTATGTGCAAATATGTATCTATGCATGTGAGTAAGTATGTGTATATATCTTTATATTTGTCTTTGTGTGTGCATGTAACAATATTAAACTTTATCATTTTTTTTAATGCTTTTTTGTTTTTCTTTATTTTATTTTTAATTATTATCATGTTTTTTGTTATAGTTTTATTTCTTTTAGTTTTAAATATTTATCGTGGCCACAATTATTACTATTTTTAACTTTAATATTAATATTCATATTTTATTATTTTCAATTTAAATAAATATTTTATGTTCTTGTTAATTGTTACGTTTTATCAGTCAATTGTTGGTAACTAACTTATATGTATATTTAACTATTGTGTTTATAAAAACAAGTGACTTATTATTTGATTATTTTTTTAATGCAATTAATATTATAATTGTTATTGTTGTTGTTTGTTTTATTATTATTGGGGTACTTATGTTTATTACTATAAATATTACTTTTATTATTATATTTATTATTCTTATAATTATTACTAATTATATATATAAAGATCTATATTTTTGGTGTTTACTTGATATTAGTAGAATTACTATTTGTAAATATCCATGAAATTATTTTTCATAATATATATATACATATATATATATATATATATATATATATATATATATATATATATATATATATATATATATATATATATATATATATATATATATATATATATATATATATTTGTGATATATATAGAGAGAGCCATTATCAAACTAATAAAACCGTTAAAAAACCGTTTAAAAAATTATAATAAACGTAAACAAATGATGTCATTGCAACGTCAGATATTTAACATTTTTTAATTTTACAAAAAATATTTTCCAATAATGAGTCGTCACCAAGTTGCCATTGTCGCGATTTAAAACGGGATTACCAAAACGGAAGACTGTTTTAACGTCGACTTTACGAAACTCTCTTCAAAAAACAAGGCCTTATTTTAGAAACCATGGTAAAATAACTAGGTTTTTGGTATCAAATTTTTGAGAACAAGATGGATTTGTGGAGTATTTATAATTTTTAGCAATATCTGAATACTGTTTATAGGAATGTCCATTTTCAGTAAAAATCTTAATAAGAAAATTAATTTTATTCTGAATGTTATGTTCTAAACAAAACTTTAAAAATACCAACAGCGATATTCGGTGAAATAGATGATTTCGGTTTTATAAGTACGATTGTAATTGCATCTTTACGGTGTATGGAAAACTCATATCTGTGAAGAGAGTGATTGGTTGAAATACAAACATCTAAAAAATTTAATTGGTGTTGAGCATTTTCGTGTTTGCATGTATATTGGATAAATTTATCTTGTGAATTTAAAAGTGTTAAAAAAGAATTTGCGTCATCAATATTAGTAAATCGAGCATGGCTTATCAATCAACGTTACGTTTAACGTTTATAAGTTTTTGGTTCAATATTGACGTTTAGAGCCTGTTGGGAGTTACTAGAATAAAAACGAACAGAATTATAGAGCAAGGAAACGGTTGACAGAAGACTTGAAAAGTTGAAGGTTATATGAGTCAGGAAAACATGAAGATGGGAGAGAGTTCCAAAGGATTGAAGTGCGGGGAAATAAGAGATTTGTAGAGGTAGAGAATGAAATCAGAAGTAAGGAAATGGCGAGCACGATAAAAAGAAGCAACCTTAGCAGAAGCTAATTTAGCAATCAATTGTATATATGGTTTCCATGAAAGGTCAGTAGTAAGCGATAATCCAAAAAGACGTAAAGAGGAGGACTCAGTAAAAGGATTGTTATTCATTAATATAGGAATGTTGACCATATTATGGTAGTTGTTTGCAGTAAACAACTGGGTTTTGTTAGAGTTGAAATTCACAAGCCACTGTGAACTCCAATCTATAACTGAAGTGAAATCGAATTCAAGATCAGCAGCTTGTTCTAGGTGATCAAAATAAGAAGACTTTTTGTCAAGACAGGAGTATAAAGTTGAGTCATCAGCAAAAAGAGCTACTTTAGATGAAAGGTTGTCAGGAAGATCGTTTATGTAAATAAGAAACAAAACAGGGCCAAGGATGGAACCTTGGGGAACCCCAGAAGTTACTGAAAATAAAGAAGAGTGTTGGCCTTCAAGGATGACTTTAATAAACCGGTTAGAAAGAAATGATTTGATAATCTCAAAAACTTTACCAGAAACACCATATGAAGCAAGCTTATGGAGAAGACTAGCATGCCAAACTTTGTCGAAACTTTAGATATGTCGAGAGCAATAGCTCTAGCCTCACCGCCTCCATCTAATGCACGATAAAATCTTTCAGTTACAGCAGTTAGTAAGTCGGCCGTAGAGCGAGAGGATCGAAAACCGTATTGATTGTCTGACAGCAGTTTATTTGACTCAAGATGAGATGTGAGGAATTTTTTGATCAAAGACTCAAAGACCTTGCTAATAACAGAAAGAAGACTGATCGCACGATAATTGGAGGGGTCAGAATTTTCTCCAGAGTTTTTGAATATTGGAACCACAGATGCCATTTTCCAACAAGCAGGAAAACAAGACTCAGTCAAACACTTGTTAAATAGTTTAGAGAGAATTGAAGAAAGTTCTGGAGAACAATTCTGCAAGACTGTGACAGGAATGTTGTCTGGACCACAAGCTGTAGACGAGTTTAATTGAGATATGACTTTAGCAACAGAAGCCGGAGTGATTTGAATGTCTAACAATGGGTCAACCTGTTTGACTGGAATGGAAGGAAGAGAATGTCTATAAGATTCAAGAGTGAAATTAGAAGAAAAGTTCTTTGCAAACAGTTCTGCCTTATCCCTGGGAGAGGTAACAAGATCAGTCCCATGAATGAGAGATGGAATGTTAGATCTATCCTTGTTAACAATGTTGTTGAAGATTTTCCAAAAGTCTTTAGAGCCTAACTTCTGCGATAAGATGCGAGATTTAGTGAACTGAGAATAATGGAGTTTAGCATCAGAAAGGACCATTTTACATCAATTTCTTGCAATAATAAATAGCCGTTTGTTCTCAAGAGAGTTGTTCTTTTGAAAAAGATGAAAAAAATGATTACGATTAGATAGAGCAGCCGTACAAGAGGAAGAAAACCATGGAGTAGAATGAGGCTTGACTTGAAACCAACGAGAAGGAATAAAAGCTTCCATTCCAGCCAAAATCCAGGAGGTTACGAAGGAAGCGCATTTATTAGCTGAGAGAGAAAAAACATCAGCCCAAGGACCATCACAAAAAAAATCACGAAAGGAATCCCAGTCAGTTTTAGGGTAGTAGTAGGTGGTGCGATGATAAGGTGAGCCCAAAAAAGAAGTACGAGAAGAAAGATTTATAGAGATCATTGCATGGTCAGAACCACCTAAGGGAGAAAAGGGAGAAACTGAACATAAGCTAGGGTCAGAGACAATACATAAGTCAAGGAGTGAAGGTAAATGATTAGGGTTGTCAGGAAAACGAGTCACAAAGTTAACTATCTGAGTAAGAGATTGAGAAACGCAGAAGTTAAAGGCTTTAGTGCCAGCAGGATTAGTGGTGTTAGAGCCAAGCCATTCAGTATGATGGGCATTAAAATCACCAACAACAACAACATTGGCAGAGGGGTAAAGAGAGAGGGCATGGTCAATTTGATCAGAGAAAACATCTAAGAGAGTGCAATCATGGGAAGAAGGAGAACGATAAAGAACAAAGAGAAAGGTGATAGAGTGAAGAGGTGCTAGGTTACTTGATTACACGACAAATAGGGGAATTAATGCGTATGTATACCCCTAAACCTAGCATGTGACTATTGGAGTCTTTACGAATCAAAGGATAGTACCCATCAACACTGACATCTGAAGAAGGAATTGTAGAATTCAAATTTGTTTCACTGAGTGCAAACAAATCTGGTGAATTTTGCAGGAGGTAAGACTCAACTGACGGAAAGTTGCTTTGCAGTTTTATTAGTTTGATAATGGCTCTTACTATTTGAGCCGAAATATCACTTATAATAATAAAAAAAAAAAAGAAATAAATAGTATGATACCGTATATGATGTTTTAATGCTTATAATTACACATATTATTAAAGATGTCACTTAAATTATATATATATATATATATATATATATATACATACATTGCATGCAAAATGTGGTGCCCATGGTCCTCAACTGGCATGTCGAAATATGCTTTTTAGGCCTCACACATTATACAACTTGTTTTCAAGGAATACATTTTTGCTTTTGTCTTTATGAATTGTCCGCACACGTAGCAGAATGAATCAGCTGGGTGCAAACAACCTCTTGATGCCATATCAAATAAATAACTTCTCTTCAATTACGAATTGTTATCCTTTCAGTCAGCCATAACACTAATTGGAATCTTGGTTTGAGACACATGTGCTTTTATATATGTATAACTACTTTCAGAAACTTCAAGAACGTTCTAGAAAGTTTTGACAGCTTCTCGAAAGTTCTGGAAGTTTATTGAACGTTAAAGAGTGCTTAGGAGCTTATTTTTAAGCAAGTTTAAGTATATCAGGAATATTTCCTGATATACTTAAACTTGCAAGAATATACCCAATTTATAAAAATAATGGTTGCGCCGACGTATCAAACTATAGACCTATACCGGTACTTTCTGTTTTCTCAAAAATCTTCGAACGTGTAGTTTGTAAAATAATCTTTGATTATTTTACAAAAAATGAATTTTTTAATCCAAAACAATTCGGATTTCAAAAAATTTAACAGAACATGCAATTATTAAATTAGTCGACCAAATCACTGATGGTTTTGAAAATGGTTTACTCTCGGGTTATTCTTAGATTTATCTAAGGCATTCAACACCGTTGATCACTTAATTCTGTTTGAAAAACTAAAAATAGTACATGCAATTAATTAAATCATTAGATAAAAATTAATCTATCTAATAGAAAACAATATGTTCAAAATAAGAAATCCAGAATGCTGAATACTCTGTGTAGAGTGCCTCAAGGATCGATCCTAGGACCGTTCTTATTTTTAATTTGTGTTAATAATTTTAATAATGCATCAGTAAAACTAAATGCTATCATGTTTGCAGACAACAGAAATTTATTTTTATTTAATAGCAATATTAATCATTTTATTGTGGATGATCATTTTCATGGCTAATCAAAGTATCTATCATATTTTTTTGTTTAGTTTTGAAGTTGTTTTTTTGTTGATAAAAAGTTAAAATAAAAATAATGGTAGGGGGTCTTAATAAGCATAGATCTATGCTTAATTTCAATAAATGTTTATTATCAACCCTAAGGTTGGTAATAAAAATTTATGAAAACTAATTAACGTCCTCTCCCGCGTATTCTTATGCGCTTACCTGAGAGTATATAGCAACTAAACTTTGAACATTATAAAAGTCAGACAAGGAAACATAAACAAATACATGTGCATTTGTTTGTTATTTTTTATTACTCATAACTCTATTTTTGTAATCCGAATCTATTTGGATATAGAAAAAAGCTGACCATGTTTGTTTATAGAAAATGAACCTATTAACTTTATTTGCTTATCATTTGAATTTTAATTTTATTATTGGCATACATACCATTAAAAGAAGATAGATTAAAAGAAGTATTAACTATAACCTTATAGATAAGTTAAAAAAAGTAATATTTATAATCTTTAACCGCAATTTACTTTTTTGTTACAGTTTATTTGCTAAAACCTTATGTCGACAGTTGTGTTAAAGGAAGGTCATGTTTTAATGAATATATCTTCTGGATCAGGTAACGAATTTATTTAGTAAAGTTAAAAGTTTTTTTTTATATAAGAAACATTAGTTGATCAAAAACATTAGTTGATCAAAAACATTAGTTGATCAAAAACATTAGTTGATCAAAAACATTAGTTGATCAAAAACATTAGTTGATCAAAAACATTAGTTGATCAAAAACATTAGTTGATCAAAAACATTAGTTGATCAAAAACATTAGTTGATCAAAAACATTAGTTGATCAAAAACATTAGTTGATCAAAAACATTAGTTGATCAAAAACATTAGTTGATCAAAAACATTAGTTGATCAAAAAATAAGTCTTTATAAATGAACCAGCCCATTGCTTACAGTGGCTTTTTGTATGATTATAAAATTTTAAACAGTTTTTATTAGCATTCCTACGAGACTTTAATATATTTTAAATGATTGCGGACAGTTCTTTTTACGTTATACCTTGTAGACATATGACTATTTTAAGTTTTTTTGAAGCACTTAGGAACAGTCACAATAAAAGGATGAGGGAAGAATTCAATAATCTTAAACATGTTATCTGATTCGCCGTAAAAAGAGAGCTTATTGAGAAGACCAGCATGCCAAACCTTATCAAAGGCTTTAGAAATATTGAGAGCTATAGCCTTAGCAGACGTCTGTTTACTGGAAAATTGTTTCGGTGATAGATTCGGGGATTTTGATAATGAAGAAGAATGAGATAAAAGTTTTAGAGAAATCAAACCTTGATCAGAAACACCATTTATGGGTTTTGCTAGTGTCTCTACAGCTCTGAAACTCTCTATTATTGTTTTATTGTTCTGAGGCCGGTTAGTAATCAGGTTTTCCGAAATCTGTTGAAGCTCTCAGAGAAGCTGTACAGTATCAAATCAAAAGCTGTACAGTATCAGAGTACTAAAAGTGTCATGTTGCACATGGATGGTATCCCTGTTCGTACTTTTGGTGTGAGTTGTCGAGGCTACACAGAAGCCTTTTGTTAATAGTAATGAGGCAATTGCTTGGACTATTATAATAGTTATCTAATAAAGGATCTAATAATTCAGACGGATCTAATAACTTTTTACTTTAATACATTCATTTAGCAACAACTCTTGGAAAAGGCCAATAAACTTAGAGAGTAAAAGTATTAAAGTAATAAGAATCTTAAAATGTTTTAATCAAAAAAAAAATGTTGAATTTTGTTTTAAACTAGTGTTAAATAAGACTTTTAAACTTTTTTAACTCAATAAAAAACTATGATCAAAAGTTCATTTCAAATTAACCAATCAAATGTTAGCTCCAATTTAAAAAAACTTTTAGTATTATTTTAAAGTAATCAAATAATATGCTTATTATTTCTCTATATTTTTAATATATAAAATTAATTAAATATTTTAATTAATGCTTAAAAATTCTTTAAAAAAAAAAGTTATGAAATAAAAGATGGATAAGAGAGGTCTAACAAATAGTATATGCAAACAGTAACGCACAAAAATGTTTTTTATATGTTTAGCAAAACCTCTTTTAAAAAACCCATTAGTTATGAATTAAAAACTTTACAACATTTTCATTTTCAAAGCCATAATAAGAAACTTTCCAAACAATGTTTGTGCAATATAAGTAAACAAAAGCGTAATGAACAAAATCTTGGAAAAAGTTGCTATAAAAAAAAAAAATGTTTTTTAAATAAAAACATTTGTGCAAACAATTATCTTTTTTCCTTTACAAACAAAATAAAATTTTGGTGGAAATATCTACTTGGTGTACAAATATCGCATTTAATTTATTGAAACTATTAATTTTTATCAAATAATTATTTAAATAAAGTAAAATACTTTTTTAACTTGTTAAAAAAGTATTTTACTTTATTTAAATAATACTTGTTTATAAAAGTTCAAGCAGTTATAATAAAATTGCTGAAATCTTAGAATGTCATATTCATTTATCAATGTTTTTTTGTTTTTTTTTTTGGGTTTCTTTGGATTTTCAACAAAGACTTGCTTAAAGGAACAGTGCAAATCAAAGCATAGTCAAATATTTTGTCTATTGACTTGTATTTTATAAAAATCAATATATCGTTTAATACAAAGAAAAAACTCCGACATAAAAATGTGCTAATAAAAACTGACTTGGATCAGAGTCAAGATGTATTTTGAGTAGAAAAGGTAAATGATTTGAATTGTCTCAAAAGCGAGTTGAAAAGTTGACTATTTGTGTGAAAGATTGAGAAAGAAAAAAGTTGTGGGCCTTAAGGCCTGCTGAGTCTTTGACACTTAATGTGTTGAGCATTAAAGTCACCACAACAACGGTATCGGCTTAAGGATAAAGAAATAAAGAACTTGGTCAATTTGATCAGAAATAACATCAAAAAGAGTGGAGTTATGAGGTAAAGGAAAGAAATATAGAACAAAGAGAAAGGTGATAGAGCAAAGTGGTACTGAACCAAAGCACATAAAAGAATAAACTGTAGATTCAAACCTAGTTTCCCTACAAATTAGTTTATTCTTACAAATGTAAACGCTCAGGCCAACCATGTGACTATTGGAATCTTTACGAACTAAAGGAAGATAACCATCAACTCCAGGGTCGCAAAATAATACAGCTGAATTCAAATTCAGCCTTACAAAGAGTAAGTAATTCTTCAAAAAAAAAACAAAGAACAAATAGTTCTGTTGAACATTGCACAAGATAAGACTCAACCGAATAAAAGTTACTTCCACGAATATTAGTGAATGATAGATTTAAGGAACTTGGTGATGACAATGATTTTTTCTATTTCATAGTGTTTGGTACTTTTTTACTCATTTTTAAATTTGTTAAAGAAACTCACTCAAAGTACACTCATTACTTTTAGTAAACCCTAAACTGCAACAAAAGGCTCCAAATGTGGCCTTTATTGAGAGTTGGTAACGAAATACATAACAGTATGATTGGCAAGAGTGCGTTCATATGGAACGTATTCGAACTCGTTGCGTTAGTTAGAAAGATAATCAAAATGACACAACTAATTTAGACAAACAGTGGGAAACATGGAAAAAAGATTTTGAGTTTTATCTATTTGCAACTGGAGTCACGCAAAAAAAAGGCGTTACTTCTGCATCTAGCAGGGAAGGATGTAAAAGAAATTTATAAAACCCTGAAAGGAACTTACAACGATCAATACAAGGCAATGTGTGTTAAACTGGATCAATATTTCAGTCTAAGAAAGAATTAACATGCGAACCTTACGTCTTTACGAGAATCAAATAAAATGAAGAGGAAAGTACAGTGAGTTTCATTACACGATTAAAAAAACAAGCGGAGTATTGTGCTTTTCCGAATGTTACAGAGGCAGTAAAAGATCAATTCATATCATTGTGTTATTCTTTAAAATTAAAACAAAAACTCCTTAAAGATAGAGAAATAAATCTCGAGAAATGTATTGAAATTGGTCGAAACATGGAAGTGTCAGAACAACAGGCAAAAAAGATGTCTTATAAAAAAGCAAATGAATGCTCAGAGGAAATCGACTTAGTAGATCATTCAGAAAAACAAACCATTTTCAGAAGAAGAAAACAAACGACAGACTTTAAATCGAGACCTAGCCAAAATGATAATATAGACAAAAAAGAAAATAACTTGTTATGTTTTCGATGTGGGGAGAAGTACTTTGTTGAACACCAAAAAGATTGCAAAACTATTGGAAAAATGTGAATTTAACATTTTAAAAATTGCAGAAAGTGTAAAGTTTGTGACTAATAAAAAAAAATATATGAATTCAGTGGATAATAAGTCAAATGAAGCTGTACAGCATTCTAACGTGTGTAAAAATATTAATGATAAAATCAAACTTCCAACGAATCAAAATAATAATAGTTTTGAGCATATTCAAATTGTAAAATCACTTTAAAGTTCAAAAATAATTTGACAAAGTTAATCGCAAAATACGAAGGCATATTCAAAGGACATGGTAAATTAAAAAACTTTCAATGCAAACTTTATGTAGACAAAAACATACAACCAGTTGCGCAAAATTTGCGTCGTTATCCCTATCACTTTCGAAAAGACATTCGAACAGAGTTAAAGCGACTTCAAAAAGCAGGCATTATTGAAAAAGTTGAAGGACTACAAGAATGGATAAATAATTTCGTAATTGCGCCAAAAACAAATAAGACAGTAAGGTTATTTCTTGATGCTAGAACCATAAACCAAGATATTAAACGTGAAAGATACCCAATACCTACATTAGATTTGGTAATAGATTAAATGTATGGTTCAAAAATATTTGCCAAAGTAGACATGAAGGAAGTCTATACTCAACTAGAGTTGGATACCAAATCAAGATAAATTACAAATTTTCAAACGGATGAGGGAGTCTACCGACACAAAAGATAGTATATTAGTGTATAGAAGTACAGTTAATTACTGATGCTAGAAATCATGCCATAGGTGGAATACTTTTACAAAAAGAAGAAACTTGGATCAAACCAATCTGCTACATATTCAATTCAATTCAATTTCAACTATTCAATTATATATATTTTGAAATAAGTTGTAAAATTTCAAGGACTTTTACAAATAGTACAAGTACTAATCTAAAGTTAAAACCTGCAACATTGTAATAAAAGTGATCATAATAACAATAATAAAAAGAACAATTATAATAGTAATGATAATAATTATAGAAATAAAATTAACAATAATAATAAGATGACGATGAAGAGGAATATTATAATAAAATTTGTAGTTATTAAGAGATTAATAACAAAATATTTCAGAGGCTTTAGGTATAATATCTTTCTAAAAAATAGTTAAAAAGACAGTTTTTGAAATTTTAATGGTGAAGGTAGACTGTTCCATGATTTTACACTTTGGTATTTTATGGATTTTAGACCATATTTTACAGAAGAATGATTTGGTACATGAAGATTATAGCTATTAGCAGATTGTAGATGATAGCGACAGCTTTCTCTAACAGTAAAAAAATTTGTAAATTTGCTGGGTAGACATTTTTGTTTATAATTAAAGACAAAATGGCAATTT